CAACATCCCCAAGACTGTAAGCTGGATTAACATCACTGCCACACCTAGGACACCCAGCACAATGTTGGGCATAAAACAAGTGCTCACTAAATGCCCACGCACCGAATTGCATGTCTCCTTCCTAAAAGAATGACTGAACTTGTGCTCTGGAGAAAAAAGTACCTCGTTTAAAAGACAAAATTTTTTCACGAAACAGAAAATCCAAGGTCAAGTCAGTGTGCCCACCCCATTTTTAAAACCAAGGTGTGTATTTGGTCTCAAAGCTCATTGAGTAGGACTAACCATTCCTGAAGCACACACTGGGTGTCTTTCCTAGGTAGGTTACAAAGAGCTCATATTTCATCGCATTCAGCTTGTCTGTCAAAATGCAACATCCCTCCCAGGGGAGCAAGCAGTCCAATTCCCCAGCTGGTTTTTATTCACACTAGAAACTTTAACTCCATTCTAGGCCTCACAAAATGAGAGCTGTGTCCACACAAAGCCACAACAACCAGCCAATTCACTGAATCCAATGAAATAAGCCAATTCACCAGGGGAGGACACAAACTGTCAAACTGGTTACTTGGTGCCTTATAGACCAAACAATGCATGATTGAATTGGTTAGCTTTTCAATAGGTTGTCTTGTCATGTGGTTGCTGCAGTGAGTGAAAGATTTTCTTTATCATTCTGTTTTGTCTTTTTTTTTTTTTTAGCACCAAAATAAGAACACATCAGATAGAAGGGTAAATAGCCAATAATGTCTTCTCTTTAAATCCACGGTCAAACACACCAAATGCAGCCATTTCAGCATGACCAAAAGGCGTACTTTGTGGAACAAGGCTCCCCAGCCTGTTTTTTGGCTTTAAAATAAGACCCTGCCGATCCTGATCTCGTCTTTGCAAACGCATGGCACTGGGAGACAGAGACCATGTGCAACAACAACTCTTTACAGACAAAGCCACTATTCATGGACCCTACTGAAGTGCAATCGTAGATTTTCAATTTCATTCAGCTGAGTGCGGAAGGCTCCCACTATGAGGGTGGGTTGCTAAATTGTTCAGCTGGGAAAAGCACCCAGAATGAGAGTCAGCTTTACAGTCTGCACTTTCATGAGGAGAAATGAAAGCGATTCCCTCACTGCAACTGCAGTTTTACAGTAAAGACCTAATCTAGCAAATCAGCCAAGGGCACTGAGTGATTTTTTTCTGTATCACATTGGTACCCAGAGCATAGCTTTTTTTTTTTTTTGTTAGGGCGGTTGCTAGGGTAAGTACCAAGAAAGCAGCTCAGTAATTCATGGAGTTAAAACTTCCACAAGAGGGGATGGATAATGTTGGTCCCTCAAGCCCTCAGCTAGACCAGACAAGTTTTCTCCTTTCTCGGAATACAATATGTATATTTCTACCTTCAAGTCCTTCCTTACCTCACATGACTGCTTTAGTTCCACTCATTCTCTGGGGTCTAGTTAAATGAAGACAGCTGACATTTATCCAGCATGCACTACACCCAGTGTTCATTTCTCACAACCTGATCAGGAAGGTGCTCCCTCTTTTGCAAAAAGAATGTGGAGAGGTGACTCACGTGCTCAAAGTCCAAGTAAGGAAGTGAAGGAGCTGGAGTTGACTGTAGCCCAGATTCCCAGAGCTTTAGCTCCTAATCACTACACCCTACTCTAACATAACTATCCCGACATGTCTACACACAGCCTTCCCTGGGCAGGCCACCTATTTTCAGTGGCTGTGTAGGTCTTGCTGCCTCAACTGGGTACTAAGGTCTGGGCAAGAAGGGTCTGTGCCATTTCCCCATGGTGCCTGGCACACAGGAGGTACTGAGTGTATTTTCCATTACCAACTGAAATCCTAGTGCCTGGCTGCCCCCTCCCTTCAAATAAATATTGTATTGCTTTGTCATGCCAATAAAAATCAAAGGCCAAATCCCCCACATAGGGGTTGTTTTGGCCTTCTCTGCCCTGACGGTATCTTGCTTTTCCAGTAAAACAAGTGCCAGTCTATGTTCTGAACTGCAGCAATTTTAATAGGAGGTTTGCTCTAGCGGCAAAGGATTTGCTCATCTCTGCACTGGGACGATAAAGCAACTACCCTCATTTCAAAGCACCATTTTCCAAGGCAGGAAAAGAAAATTTCACCTTCTAGTCACTCTTTCCAAAGGATACTCCATAACTGACTTCTGGCACGCTATTGCTCTTGGGCCAGAAGTATCATTTTTATTTGACTTGAAGAGGTGTGGCCCACATAGCTAAAGATAGACCGGAAGCTGACCACTTCTTGCACGCTGACCCAACAACCCGGGGAAGGAAGTCTCAGGTTAGGAAGTGCTCATTACCAGCATGAACACAGCTATCTCAGAGGCGCACTGTGACCAGTTGTTTTCTGCTCAGCCTCCACTACAGTGTGTGCTCTTTAAAGCCTGGCTTGCATGGGAATGTGTTTTTAAAGCATCATTTTCAGTAAATATTAAAAATGTAGGTAGAAGTCAGAACATAGTTATAATTCAGTATGCTATTATGCCACCTTCCTAATTTCCAGGTGTGCAAACACCCCCACAAATTAGAAGACTGTCAGCATTTTTAAGCTGTTCTGGCAACAGTCTTCATTGGGAGAGGAGGAGGAAGAGAAGAAATGTTCAAAATGTTTGGATTCCAGTATCATTAAATAGGTGAGCTCTGGGAAAATACTGGAGGCAAGTCAGGCTGTTTTCTGGCTTCCTAAATAAGCAATGCTTTCCACAGGTTGGCCTCCTACCAACCTTTGGAGGAGAAAACACTGGAGGCAGATGAAGGACTCCACATAGAAAAGCCAGGCAAAGGAAAATCAAACAGGAGGATGCCTATGGCATTTATTAATGGTCAGCACAGGTGGGGAGGGGAACAGAACCACTCTGCCCTTTCTCACACAGCACAGGTGAGAAAACTCTGGAAGCTCCTGGACAGCAGTAATGCAGGAACACTCTCTACTATGTGATGTAGCACAAAGGGGATGCAATTTCCTTGGGAGGGTGATGGCACCCTGTTCCCCCATCTCTCGGGGCCCGCAGGGCTGCCAAACTGGCCTCTGTATTATATTTTACAAAGAGTTGTCAGGATTGTCAGCTCTCAAGACAGCCTGGATTCTAGAACCTTCTGATTTAGTAGGATTTGTAATAATAAAAGTTTCTGGCAACCTTTCTTTCCAAAGGTCCCTGCAATACTTTTGGACAAGTAATTCTGTTCTCTGTTCTTTCATGGGAGGGAGAGTAGCGAAAGCTTTAACGTGAAGAAATCCTTCTATATATCATAATCTGCTGGTCAAGGATTATTATATAACACAGTTCTGTTGTGGTATCTCACCAAAATGTCTTTTTCTGAAAAAATAAAGAGTATATATATATATACACACACACACATATTGTTTTTTCTTTTTTCTTTCTTTCTTTCTTTCTTTTTTTTTTTTTTTTTGAGACAGAGTCTCCCTCTGTTGCCCAGGCTGGAATACAGTCGCATGATCTTGGCTCACTGCAACCTCTGCCTCCCAGGTTCACACGATTCTCCTGCCTCAGCCTCCTGAGTAGCTGGGACTACAAGTGCCTGCCACCACGCCCGGCTAATTTTTGTACTTTTTTAGTACAGGGTTTCACCACGTTGGCCAGGCTGGTCTCACTCCTGACCTCAAGAGATCCACCTGCCTTGGCCTCCAAAAGTGCTGGGATTACAGGCGTGAGCCACCATGCTGCGCCTGGCCTATAGAGTCTTATTTCAGTATTTCTAAATCAGCCTTGGCATTTGGGGGTGGGGAGGAAGAGTATTTCTCCCTACTCCAAATGGAAAAAAAAAAAAAAGTTGAGAAACGCTTTTTCTTTCTCAAAGCCTAAACCCAAGGAGACAAAGTACTGCTTACAGCTCTCTGCCCTGCAGACTACAAACTACAATTCTAGCAGGATAAGAGACTTCATCTACAGCCAGGCGCAGTGGCTCATGCCTGTAGTCCCAGCACTTTGGGAGGCCAAGGCGGGAGGATCATGAGGTCAGGAGATGGAGACCATCCTGGCTAACACGGTGAAACCCTGTCTCTACTAAAAAATAAAAAATAAAATAAAATAATTAGCTGGGCATGGTGGTGGGCGCCTGTAATCCCAGCTACTCAGGAGGCTGAGGCAGGAGAATGGCGTGAACCCAGGAGGTGGAGCTTGCAGTGAGCGGAGATCGCACCACTGCACTCCAGTCTGGGTGACTAAGCGAGACTCCATCCCCCCTCCCAAAAAAAAAAAAGAGAGAGAGAGACTTCATTTGATCCTGCCTCTACATATGACGAGTAGGCTCAATGTTTATAACGTATACAGTTAACTTTTTCTTTTCCCTCACTGCCCTATTTGTGATCCCTAAATAAAATCTGAGTTTCTAACTGATAGCAGCAGCAACTCCCCTGAAGATAAAATAATAGAGCCGGATGGTATTCCAATTTAACAAATACAGGACAGGTTTATAACTCTCAGTGGCAAGATTCTCTTTTTTCATTTATATACTCAAAGACTCGTCACTGATGTGTGTGTGCAAATCATCATCCAATTTTTCACTCAAATGCAGCAACCTTTACAAATCAGCAAGGGAGGAAAGGGTCATTTAAGAGATGTGCGGATGAAATGTTGTTTAGCAGTGACAGATTGCGGCAAGCAGTTTTGAGTTCCGGTGTTTTAGTGAAGGGAGAGCAGAGAGCAAGTGTATTGTTACTGTGCTTGGCCACTTGTCAAGGCGCTGACAAGTTCTGCATTATCGCCTCATTTTGCTAATTAATTAACTATTGTTTTAGGCAACAACAACTCAGACTATCTATCCAAAGTCCTAACTACTTGAGAGCTGCCAATAGTAGTAGTAGTTAATTGAGGCACTGCTTTTTATGCTAAGTCAAACACACACAGAGGGCAGTTTTTTTTACCAGAATAGGTTGTCCTTGAAAAATCATCATCTATCAACCCTCACCAAGACACTGTACAAAACACTATGACTAATCCTAAACTGGTGTCTTACCTTAGTGTTCCTCCTTAGGCTGCGAAGAATATTCCTCCTCCGTGGGTCTTCGTCTGTTTCGTATGGAATGACGGCATTGTCCCCTTTATAACCCTGGGATGCCTGATCCTCCTCTTTCTTCCGGATGGGCCCCAGCTCATCATCACTCCCCACGCTGAAGCTGGTTCGGTAACTAGCAAATCGCCCCAGCCGGGTGCATCTCGTCCTGTACAGCACTGGCTTGCTCACGATGGAAACCTTGCGCCCTCGCTCTAGAGAGCTGGTGTCCATTTCACTGTCAGAACCATTCCCGCTGCCGTTGGACTGGGCTTTGTTGATATTCCGAATGGTGATGATTTTGCCTTGGGTGCTGTCATGGGGCACGGAGTATATGTTTTCTTCTTCATTCCTTGGCTTCACCACAGCATCCATGGGTTCAGCATAGTCAGAAGGATCAAACCCATCCTGAGGCAGCCAGGGGCTAGAAGACACAGACTTCCTCTGTCCATCCCTATGGCCTTGGTCTAAATAAGATAAATCCCCCTTTGTAATTTCAAAATGGACAGGAGGCTTTGGTTTGACTGGTGGAGGTACTTTGTTGTTCAGTTTACTCTCAAAATTGCTCATAATGAAAGACAGCCCATCATTTCCCTCCAGTTCCATAGAGAGTTTAGAATGGTCTTTGGACAGAGAAGGCAGTGATGTGTCTTCTCGAAACAGGCTGTAAGATGGCTCGATATCTTCTTCTGAATCCTGCAGGTTTGAGTTGCAGAGCGGTGATCCTGCCCGGGGGGAGTTAAACACCTCTTCGGTGGTGCTACAGGCCTCGGCAGCATTATCGTACATATGAGTAGCCTCGATTATGTTCTTTTTTTCCACCACATCTTTAAAAAACGGGTGAAAGATCTCAAGTTTATGCTGGGGTTGGCTACAGGGGATGCTTGTGAACCTTCCATCAATTTCTTGAGCAATCTCCTCCCCCTCAGTCAGCTGTTCCCGACTTAAGTCATTGTCCAGGACATCTACAGCGCCATCAGTGAGTGCTACGAGCTGAATAGGGATAATATCCTGCACTTCACAAAGAAAGGCACGTAACATAGCCAAAGAGGCCTTACGTTTGGCTGAATAAAAAACAATGTACCCATGAACCAACCGGCTCTTTCTGATGCTAAAGGAGGAATGGTATGAAAGAATGGACAGTTCAATCCGCTTCTTGTGCAGTCCGATTGGTAGTTCAAGTAAAACAGAGTTGTTGCTTCCACAATGGGAAGATTTACAGGTTTGGGACTGAAGGACAGGAAAAAGTATGTCATCTGCACTAAAAGGATCTCCACACATCAGACACATAACAATTCGCAGATCAACATCAGCCAAATCTTTGATGCTAGCAGTAGAACTGACCAGGTTTAAGTTACGCTTAGAGTCCAGGAGTCCCTTCAAAACTTGACTGATTTGCTTTTCATTAATGTTGCGTCCGTAACCAATGCCAGCAGAAGCAGGGTCGAGAAAGACACACTGAAGTTTGCTAGCAATTTGCTGACCTTGCTGTATTAAGCTATGCAGAGTCTCTCCACTGGTGTCTCCTCTCTTGTTAACCAAAATTAATGTAAGGGGGAGATGGACTAAATGATTATCCCGCCGGCCAAGCGTGGACTCTCTACTCTTCTCTATACTTTCCACTACATAGGATAGCGATTCCTTTGAATTGTAAAGGCAAAGACAGCCGTGGGGCTGAAATGTTGGTGTCTGGAAAGAGTTCACAGGAAGCCTGACATTCCCCTCTATTGGCCTCAGGGAAAGCTCATACATTTTACCATCTATCACATACTTGTCATCATTTGTACAAAGAGCTCGAATCTCATTGGCCAACTCTCGGGCAAGGCCGTCTTTGCCCAATATAACCAAGTTGATTCTATCAATGTTAGGGTCAGAGAGTGAATTTTTCTGATTCCGGTCAGACGGCCGGATAAACCGAGAACTAATCAAGTGCTCAATCTTAGCGTCCACACAAGCTGGGCAGCTGGGGCATGTCTCCTTTGTTGGGTGGTACACAAAATGAATGTGTTTCAGAATAAGGGCATCACGCTCTGCTTGGAGCTTTTGTAATGCTTTAAATCGCTGTTCCTCTCCCAGAACATCCTGAATAACACCCATCTTCTCCTTGCTGGGCTTAGCATCCAGCTCCAGTTCATAAAACAATTCTGAATATTCTAAAAGCAACTCCTGAAATTCTTCCTTTGCTTTATCTATAATTTGCTTTTGGTGTTTGCCGTAAATATCCATGTATACAGATTCTTCCAGCCACTGGTAGAAATCTTCATTCATAATAAAACTACGGGCCTCTTCCCAAGGCTTTCCGGGAGTTATGAAAGGAGAGGTCTCCAGGTTTTCTTTAAACGCCCTTCGCATCTCAACTCTTTTCCTCTCATTCCTCAGCTTCTCTAAGTGGGCCTCGTACAGCTGCTCTGCAGGGACAGTATCCATTAAATCAAAGGGAATCCGTTCATTTTCCATGTTGTCAATGTGGTTGGTGGCATCCCATGGTGTCTCTTCAAGCACAACAAACCACTTCAAGAATTCTGACTTGGTTTCTAAGAGCTTTTTGGCTTTTATGCAGCTTAGGTGGTCTATTTCATCTAGATTAGGTATAAGAGCTTCAAAAGCTAATGGCAGGGCTGCCAGGTACAGCTTTCTCCTACGCTCGATATGCTCATGCTTGAGGCGGTGGATGTGCTGTAGAAACAGCTTCTTGGCTTTCTGAGTCCCTTCCAGGTAGACATAGTCCTGGTATTCTGGAGATGCCTGCATCTTTCGGCTGACACTCAGCCAGTTCTCATTGTGGTTTTTCACAATGCGACTCACCAGCCACTCGTACTTGTCTTTCGCTGTAGCTATCTGCTGACTCTGCTGCTTGAGAGCTTCAAAATAAGGAATGATTTTTGTCTTTCCCCGACTTTTATCAATGAGTTGCACTAAGGTGCTGAAAGCCAAGTCCACGTTTACATTGGATCTCGCTGAGGTCTCCACAACCTGGAGGTTCTTTTTGCTTAAGGCAAAAGTATGTGCATCTCTAATGTACCGCTCAACACCTTCGTCACACTTAGTCAGGACCACCACTATGGGCTTTTTTGTTTTTGCAAGCTGATTGTAGAGATTAGAGACAAACTTGAGCTGGTCATCAAAGTTCCTGTTCATGCCCCTGCTAACATCGATACCAAGAAGAAAACCATCAACCAGCAGCTTTCCATCTGGCATTTGTTTCTGCTCAAAGTCCTGCTCCAGCCCCAGCTGGTCAGTGCAAAAGTACATGAGTTTTTCAGCTGATGCAAGCTTGGTTGCAGCAGCTCTCTTGATATAGGGCTGCAGGGCCGTGCTTCGATGAGGTTGAAAAGTCTGATCATCAATAAATTCAGTCTGCTCCACAATGTGCATTTTACATTCCACACAATCCTCCAGGGAGCGGCTAACTTCTCCCCAGTAGAGAAAGTGGTCATTATTGACCACTCGCCCTCCAAAGTCACTGGTGCTGAGGACGGAGGTATGGTCCAAGTGAAACTCGTCAGCACTCGGGCGCACGAAGCGGTTGCACAAACAAGACTTTCCAATCCCACACTGGCCCTTTTCCTTCTCGGTCCCAGATAATCCCACCACACTGATGTTGTAGGTGGGAATTCGGACATCTTGCTTTCTTGCCATCATCATCGTCGGCACATCCTGCCACGATCAGCCACTTCCAAGATCAGATTAGTGTTTCCAATGGATCAGATGGCTTCCTACATTATTAGTGGGGGTGGGCTGGACATGCAGCAAAAATGCCAGGTCCCATAGTGTTGTATACCAGTATGGTCACTGTTCACCACCTCTCATCGCCAAATAGCCAACATTTCTTCCTAGATGGGGAAAAAAAGAGAAAACCCATCAGCATCATAATTTTAGAACCAAATTTTAATCAATTAACTAGAGTAAAACTTTTTTATTCAACAAATATTTAGTAAACATCTCATGTGTCAGGCCTTGTGCTGGGTGAAGATACAAGAGCAAATAAGACTCACATCTATGTGTCCTCAGAGAGGTACAATCTAGTCCAATGGAGGAAAACATAAGTAAGCAGTGTGCTAAGTGCTAAAACAAGGGTGTGAGGGCTCCCTGGAAAAAGGGCTGATTCCAGGGTTAGGGCAGGATAGGGACAAGATGAGCCTGGAACATCTTTTTATGCAAGAAAAAAAACGATGGAGCATCTCACAAGGACACAGAAGCCAGCCTGAAGGGGTTCCCGCTGGCCAAGTCTGGGACAATTTGAGCACCAAAATATTAAGTATGGTAATGAATTATAAACCCATTGCAAAAAACAGGAACCTCCGCCGGGCACGGTAGCTCACACCTGTAATCCCAGAACTTTGGGAGGCCGAGGTGGGCAGATCACCTGAGGTCAGGAGTTCGAGACCAGCCTGGGCAACATGGTGAAACGCCATCTGTACTAAAAATACAAAAATTAGCCGGGTGTGGTGACATGTAACGGTAATCCCAGTTACTTGGGAGGCTGAGGCAGGAGAATCACTTGAACCTGGGAGGCGGTGGTTGCGGTGAGCTGAGATCGCATTACTGCACTCTAGTCTGGGCAACAGAATGAGACTCTGTCTCAAAACAACAACAACAACAACAACAAAACACAGAAGCAACCCAAAGTATCCACCTACTCATGGACGGGTAAGAAAATGTGATATATACATACAATATAATATTATTCAACCTTTATTTTTATTTTATTTTTTGAGACAGAGTCCTGCTCTGTAGCTCAGGCTGGAGTGCAGTGGTGCGATCTTGGCACACTGCAACCTCCGCCTCCCGGGTTCAAGCGATTCTCCTTCCTCAGCCTCCTGAGTAGCTGGGATTACAGGCATGTGCCACCATGCCCAGTTAACTTTTGTATTTTTAGTAGAGACGAGGTTTCATCATGTTGCCTGGGCTGGTCTCAAACTCCTAAACTCAGGCGATCTGCCTGCATTGGCCTCCTAAAGTTCTGGGATTACAGGTGTGAGCCTTCACGCCTGGCCTATTCAGTCTTTAAAGGGAAGGAAATTCTGACAACATGGCTGAATCTTGAGGACACTGTGCTAAGTGAAATAAGCCAGTCACGAAAAGACAAATACTATATGATTCCACTTATATGCAGTACTTAAGAGTAGTCAAACTCAGAGACAGAAAGTAGAACAGTGGTTGTCAGGGGCTGGGGAAAGTGGGAATGAAAAGTTACTGCTTAATGGGTACAGAGTTTCAGCTTTACGAGATGGAAAGAGTTACAGAAATAGTTGCATAACATTAAAGTATTTAATACCGCTGAACTGTATAGTTAAAAATGCAAGCTTTATGTTTTATATATTTTAACACAGTAAAAAAAAAGATTGAAAAAAAAAAAAAAAGAAATGCAGGAAGGATAAAAACCCTCCCAAATGAAATATTTTATCAATGTAAATCTATAAAATCTATCATGTGAAAATACCTCCACTTTTAGGAAATTTACACCTTAGTATTTTGGAGGAAAGCACCATAATGCATGTAACTGATCCCACTCCAAAAATTATGTATACAGAGAGAGTAAGAACACAAATGGGGTGGTAAATTGTTAACAACACATGAATCTGGAAAAAAAAAAGATGAATCTGGGTAAAACATATAGGATATTCCTTTGTGCTATTTTTATGTTTTCAATCAGTTCCAAATAAAATTAAGTGTGCAAATACGAGATGGTTTCCCTGACAAGAACGCAAGCTCTGTGAGGCCTGTCCCCTGTCTAGTTCTATTCTGTGTCATCAGCCTATACAGTGCTTGACACAAATATTTACTGAAAGAATCAATAACTGAATGACGATTCAGCATATTAAATGGTCCCCAAGCCCACCTTTTAGATTCGGGAAAGCCTTTCTGTAGGAAGTTCCATCTCAGGTGAGACCTGAAGTATGAAGTGCATTTAAGACAGGACAATGTGCACAGACCCTTCCCTCCCTGAAAAAAAGCACAGCCAGTTGGGAGAACCAGCTGGAACAAAGTGTGTCGGGGGAAAGAATGGGTAAGATGCATTAGCAAGGAATCAGGGACTGGAACAAACCACTTTAAGAGTTTGGATTCCTTCCTGAAGGCTATGGGGGACCACAGAATGTGGCCAAAAAAAATGCACCTTAAAAGACCTAAAGTTTTAACAGATTAAGTAACAAACTGTTATGGCTTACAGTCTTTACCAACTTTCCAGCTATGACAGTTGATGCTGCACTGCAGTTTACTTAGACACTCCAATATGACTGTGCAAGCACTGAACCTGCAGCCAAATGAACAGTCTCCCAAGACAATCACAAAGAGGAGAATCTGAAATGAACAGAGCAATTTTCTTCTGAATCTCAGTTATGTCTGTAGAAACCTAGCCTTGCCATGACTTCAATACGTTTTTGTGCGCCTATCGCATAAGAAATGCCACTGGAAGTCAGACCACCACACATTATTCTGACTGATACCAGGGAGCAATGAATGGGAGAGTGCAATTGTCCCCTGTGATGATAACCTCAAAAGGTCACAGCCCTTTTCCAAATATCCACAGCTTCCTTCTGATATCCCAGAAAGCCAAACCCTCTATGTAATGTGACTAGATGTAGTATGCAAAAACTGACCATTTTAAAAAGAAAAATCTCTATGACTGTAGGCAATTGTCTCCAGATAATGGCATGTTCCTAAAGATGCCATGTTCTAGAATTCAGCAGGAACAAGCAGGGTATCCATGGGAAAGAAAAACAAATCTTCCCCATCCTCTACTTTTCTAGGCAATTGCTTACATAAACAAAATTACAAGATGCTTATGCATTATCTAAAGCATGTTTACACACATCCTCTGAAATACCTAACAGGAAATATCTGTACAAAAATCAATTACTCTGTAATATGCACATATAATTTTGTTTCAATCCATGAAGACACTTAGGTTTAACAGAGCCTCAGACAGGAGTGCTGATGAAGGGTTAAGGAAGTCATGGGTCCTCATCTAACAGAGTCCTTCTCTATCAATTCCTGACCCCAGGGTCTGTCAGGTCTTAAGGTCACCAATCTTGAAATGCAACTTGGTAGCATCTGTCCTACTTAAAGTGACTGCTGCATGCAACTGGCAAGTCATTCCTTGTCTGTGACTCAATTGTTCTCTGTAAAGTGGGTCTGACGTCTATCCCTTCATAGAAATCTGAAGGAAAAACAAAACAAAACAAAACACCAGCCTGCTCTCAAACCTCAAGAAATAAAGATACAGGCTCTATTTTGAAATGAACTAAAATGTATTATCCATTCAACACCTTGGTTATACTTTTTAATGGCATATTTTCAGTTATTTGAAGGCTGCTAAAGAAAGCAACACTCAACTCTGAATAATGTAGAACTGATTATTTTATTTTATGAGATGGATTCTTGCTCTGTCACCCATGCTGGAGTGCAGTGGTGTAATCATAGCTCACTACAGCCTCCACCTCCTGGGCTCAAGTGATCCCCCCACTTCAGCATCTCAAGTAGCTAGGACTACAAGTGTAAGCCATCATGCCTCGCTAATTTATTATTATTATTATTGTTATTATTTAGAAATGGGGTCTTGCTATGTTGCCCAGGCTGGTCTCAAACTCCTGGCCTCAAGCAACCCTCTCACCTCAGCCTCCCAAAGTGCTGGGATCATAGGCATGAGCCACTGTGCCCAGTCATGACTGATATTTTTAAACCCAGAATGCTGCTGATCATTAAAATAGCTACAAAAAATGAAAATCAGCTGGCATGGAAGTGGTTAATTTTGGGACACCTGGTAACCTTCCACTTGTTAGAAACCTAATAAGTTTCTTGGTGTAAGTATACTCTTCTTAGCTTTGATGTCTGGATAATGCAGTTTTACTAGTTCCTCAATTGGACTGAATTACACGGTAAACAAAGACTGTTATAAATCTAAAAACGTCTCAAACACTCGATTTAAAGGAAATAACTTTAAGTGCTTGGTCACAAATACATTCAACTTTTCTAAGAGGTGGGTAAAAAAAAATTAGCTGAGTCACTAAATTTAATGATCTGAAGGCCACAAAGAAAGAGAAAGTAGGAGACAGGGCATATCCAAGACTTCACAATGTCTAATTTAGAGTTTAAATCTGATGGGAGCCAGTGTTCTCAGCGGGCAACTAAGATACACAACAGAATCTGAATGTCCATTCTAATAATTTTCCAATGCTAATCCTTTTTAAATGGAAGAGTTAAAACAGAGGGGAAAAAAAGGATCCTTTAAAAATGGTAACTACTTTTATCTTTGAGCTTTATAGAGAGATTTACATTAGAAAAATAGAAACACAGGACTTCATAGTTTCCCATTTTATGCCATGAGTCAACTACTTCAGAGAGGAAAATACTTCAGAAGTATTTTGGTTTCTCAGTCACAAATACATGCTGTAATAAAACATAATGCAAATATCTATGTGCCTTCTTCAAACTGTCACCAAGCATTTAGAGTTGTTTGTGATTTGTTTAATCAAGACAGAAGCTCCCCACCAGAGTGCCTCAACTGGAAGGTAGAAGGAGGGTGTTTTCTTTTTTAACACCTCTATGAAACACCCAGGGCAAGAAGTGGTAACATTTCCAAGATAGCACACATTTTTGTAGGACCTAGAAATGCCATCGTGATCCCAGATTTACTATGACTGGGAAAGTTCATACTGTCAACAGCTCTATCGGCATATGCCTAGAAGTGTGTGTATCACCCTTCCAACCCGGCAACCTCATCCCTCTCTCCCGGAAGTAGACATTTGTGTGCTCCGTAATCTAGAATGCTCCCTAAGACACAAATCTTCCACCATTATCCATAATCAAAATTACCATCTCCACCTGAGAATATT